ATAATCACCAAAAGAAAATCCCCAAAGCCATAAACTATGCAAACACCCCCGTCCCCCATGGCCTCATACCGCAACCCCTATTACCACTCGCCCCCACATCCAATATACAACTCCCGACCCAACGGAACAAAGAAATACAAGAATCCCGCAGCAGCACAGCGAGCGCACGACGATATGATGAATGACTTGTTGCATCGCAGCGAGGAGCGAAGTGCTAAGCCTGAGGAAAGAACAGAGGAGGGTGGGAAGGAAGATAAGGAGGGAGTGAGAAGTCTAGGGGATAAGATAGTAGTAGGGCTTTTCAAGATGTATAGAGATTGTTTTGTTGGTGGGGGGAAGAGGGATGAAATCTTCGTGGTGAATGGCAGGATTGAGCGACGGGGACGGAGATGTAAGCGTTGTGCTGAGAGGCAGGAGACACGATAACAGCGTATATGTATTCCACTTTGATGCAAATTTAATTCGCAAGCAAAAGACAGTCTTGTATTGTTGCGTGTAAAAGCGAATGCATAGCATGCTTTGATAGAAAAGCCAAGATGATGCAAACGATTCAGATCTCATTGAAGCCAGATGGGCCAAGAGCAGAGAAAAAAATACAATACATGATATGCCATACAAAAAATGCCAGTCATGCGTTAAAAAAAAGAGTAACACTGTTGTGTACGCTAAACGAAGAAGACGATGCAGAAGAACATGCAAAGCAAGTGGTAAAATAAAAAAATGCAAGGGGTATCCTCCGTACAAAGTAAAAAAGCGATCGAACAAGAAAAAAATCGTAAAAGTCGTAAATCCAGTCCTGCCACATGAAATGAAAAAAAAAGACCTCAAGCGAAGGGCGAGGTAATGAGAAAAGAGCAGCGCAAAGCCGCAAAGCGAGTGTTAAGAAGACATGGTTCGAAAGGAAAAATAAACAAACGTCGAAACTCCAGTGAGGAGTTGACAGAGCAGGACCGTTAGCGAGTGGTATGAAGACATGATGAGAAGCATAAAAGAAGAACATAAAAGTAAAAGCCAGACCCAATCAAAAACGATGCGCAACGGCAACCAAGCAAAAAAAGGTCGGAAGTGACAAAAGCATTCCGAATAATCGAAGCGAAAGACAAGAAAGCAAATGTATGTAAAATGAATAAAGAAGAAGATGAGGGCTTCAGGGATTCAAACACCCCATCCATTCCATCCGCTCCGCAAAATCCGTTCGAGCGACCTAGTGACGCCATCAAGCAGCTCGCCAAGCTTCGATGTCGAGTCCCAGGCACCAGCGGCAACACTGGCGTTCAAGTCGTCAACAGGAACGCCGCGGAGTCGCAACTTAACCCATAGCAAGAGACTAACACAGCCTGTTTGCTGGCGCGAGACATCTTTCGCTGAAACCGTATTTGGCGAGACAAACAGCGCGTTGTTGAGAAAGGAAATCGTATTGATAGTGATTTGCGCGTGCGACAGCACAGGGTTTTCGGGCGTGGCTTCAAAGATGGGGGAGTGGGGAGCTGCAATGGGAGAAGGGAGCAGACTGCTTTGCTGGACTGCGGTCCCCGGTTGGGCGAGGGACTGCCTGCGAGTCTGGCACTGTGTGGTGGTTGTGTCTTCTGAAGACAGTCTTCTCATGCGAGTAGTGGCTGCGACAGTGACGACCCATAGGACCAGAGCGGCGAAGAAGATACCCATGTCTGTGCCCATTTCTGGTACGACACCGAGTCGTTGTTCTTGCAGCGCCTGCTGCAGAATCTCGACTGAGATGCGCAAAGCTTCTTTGACCGGCACGCCTTCTGACGCTGGGGTAGACCAAACCTGGGCCACCCACGTCCTAAGACTGGTTTTTAGTGCAGCGAAGAGCTGGGGTGTTTCGACCTTTTCGGAAAGAATCCACGATTCTCCAGAGACAGCGAGGAGAGCGCGGAGAGGTGTCACCTGGACAAGTTTGGAAGTGGCCAGCGTTCGCATAGTGACGGGCGTTGTAGCAAGAAGATGTTCAATGTTTGATACTGTCGGCAATGAAATGTAGGAAGATGAGTTTCCAGGACACTTGTAGTGAGCCGCAAGCAAAATGGCCGACTGGAAAGTGTCGAAAGAGACAGAGGCTGACTCTGGTGTTACCTCATATACGTATGCAGGCGAGTATGAGTGTTGCCGAACTGCTTCAGCCCATGATGTCAGATCGGTGGCGTCGAATGATGAGACATGCCCAGGAAATGGTAGATCAAAGGCGGTGTCTTGTACGAGAGAAGGAAAAGGTTTGCGAGCAAGCAACAGCGATTGTTGCGACTCGAGAACGTAGCAAGACAAAAGTAGGTGTTGCCAGGATGTCAGCTCGATCCATTGTTGCCAGCAGGCCGAAGTTGGCTCTGCAGGTTGGTCGAGAGACGACACGATGTCGCCCAAAAGTCGAGTATTGCGTCTGGAGTTTTCGGCAGCCTGTCTATGTTAGCCAGTTTTAACATATATATGTATCAACACTAAGCCTACCTTGTGATACACTTTGCCGAATCGCGGGGACAAGGCGTTACCAGCTCGACGAGCACGGTACTGAGAGAGGACCTCGAGAAGAAATATTGCCTGGAAATCGCATAGCCGGTCGGACTCGGTCATTGTTTCTCGGTCCCTCTGCTGATGATTAGTCCATGGTCATCATGCCATGCAATTAACCTACCACTTCGAGCAGTTTAACACATCGGTCGTGAAGGTCTCGGGACTGCTTCTTGACATTCGTATCGTGCGAGTACTGACCCCCAATGGCAGCCATGGCGGCATGCAGCATTGGTGATGAGTTCACAGAGGTAGATCGATGGACGACGGGGAAAGTGGGATGAAAGAGCCTCCAGTAACAGTCAAGACATTGCTCAAACGGATAGGTGTTGTCGATCGAAGCCATACCGTATTGTTGTTCTCCAAAGAGAATTGCTCTCTCCTCTTCATCTCTCTGCATCATGCTTTTAGGCCCATAATGCCCGAATTCCGACATTGCATCGAAGCTGGAAGTAATTGACATGCTAGTCATTGGACAAGAAGTGTTCATGTAAGCAAGACCTGGAGCAGTATGCCCCTTGTCTGAAGAAGGCCAGGTGAAGGCCATGGTTGATGTCGTAGAAGCGGGGGAACGTGACGCAAAGGTCCAGCTGGGCTGTTCAATGCATGATGCATTCGAAGGAGTGCGTGTTCGGTGGTAAGGGGTGTAGACTGGGTAGTCTGTTGGCGCGATTGGTGATACGTAACCGCTAGTCGAAGAAGAGTAACCCAGAGGGCTGTATGGTTCAGGCCACAGACCTGGAACGCCAGGTTCGACCGATACCATAGCCGGTGCAGGTTGGCGGTTATAATGGAAAGATCGATGATGTTTAGATTGACTTGAAAGGCATCAGCATCCGCTCTCACGTTCGATGATGAAAAGAATTGAAAAGATGGGAAACGTGCTGCAGATGTACAATGAAACTCACTTGGGGCTGAAAACAGACTGTGGAGAAGAACGAGGAACATGACTGAAACTTGAAGAAAAAGCCTGGGGCGTTCGAGGAGTACGAAACTGAGCGTAATTATACCTTGGGGGTGGCGCCGACTCATGCATAGGAGAGACGGGCAAAAAACATGGATGGTTTGGCAGAGCAGGTGTACCGCTCAGGATGGATGGCTCAGGAGCAGGGGTGGAGATGGGCAAAGGGACTGGTGACTCGTCGATGCTTGGCCGACGGGAGTCGTTTCCCATCTCGTTGCTGTCAAACACGTCAGTGTCGAACTGTCAAAAGCCACTTCGATCCTACGTACTGCCTCTCCTGGTGTCGAACAAGAAGATCCATGCGATGGAATACCTTGCCACATCCAGCGACTTCACAGATTAGTGCATCGTCTGGCGTATGGTTCTTCATGTGCCGTCTGCATAAAAAGTCAATATAGTTTCGCTTAATAGTGAGCTTGGGCTGACCTTAGATGCTCCGCACGTGTGTAAGACTGGCGACGGTTAGCAAAAGAATAGTACTTTGAGGTGCTTTTGTTTGACTGGATATGGCGAGGATGTAACATGATACCGATGTGGTATAATAAAGGTGCCGGTGGGTGGTTGCAGGACTAAGAATCTCAACTCACCTTTCCACAGGTATCGCACTTGTGCACCTTCAAGCCTTTCTTTGCTTTGCTGATGCGACCAGTCTTGGTGTAGTGAACGGGCGACATGTGGGAAGCCATGTCTGTAGGACTCGCAGTCGATAGTTGCTCAGAACGGGAGGAGCCGATGTGGGGGGCAGAAGGCTCTTGTTGAATACCGCCAGGGCGATGACGAGGGCTAGTCTTCCTGGGCTTCTTGGAGTGGTTATATGTTGGCGACGATTTGCAATGGTCGACGTGAAGAGATGTTGGTGGGGGAGTGGTGCTGCCTTGGGGATGCTGTAGTTGGTTGGTAGTTGGATCCAATGGGCGGCCTCCGGTCTCGCTGGGTTCAGACATGTTTGACGGAGGTGGCGACGAGCGGTATATATCTAAGGCGGGAGTGATGGGGCTAGCAGGTATGGGAGGCTCAAGTGGGGGTGTAGGCAAAGCGAGCCAAAAGACCCAGATGTGGTTGTGCGGGAGATGGCTATGGGCTAGTGGGCATGTCCTGGGCGTGTCGGCCAAGCTCCCCCAGGACAATGATAGGCACTCGGAAGTATGAGTGTTGAATTAAGAAACACTTGCCAGGGGTGGTAATTTAACGTGGTGTGTACAAGGCCTGAATGGGACAGATGGCCGTTCCAAATCAAGGCATTTGTGACAATTGTGGTGAAGGAAAGGCTGCGCCCAGGTGAGTTTATGGAGAAGACTGTAAATATCTGCGGGCTGTGCCTGAGCCAACCCCGAACGAGGAGCCTACTCGAGGCAGGGGTTCTGAGAGAGCGATGGACAGATAGACGCTGCAAGCACGCATGCACAACAGGTAGGTATGAGGCTTGACAGGGGATCCACCAGAGGTAGTGCATTGGCCAGGCCCGTAGCAAAACCATGCGTCTGAGCCCGCGGGCATGGCTGCGGGCTTGCCATCGAACGGTTCCGTCATGAACATTGGGCGAGAGAGCGTCCGCGCGCCATAATTGGGACATGACTGGGGTGGGTGGATGGTGGGTGGTGGTGGCCAGGCTACGGACCGTTCCCGCCTCGGTCTTTGCATCGGTTCCTCAGAGGAGTGTGGCTTGAGAGCCCATGGAGGACCCGAAAATAGAGACTCGCGTGGAGCGTGACGGGTGTGCTCAGCCCATGCTCCTGCAACGGTGCACCGTCCTGCTGCCGCTTACACGCAGAGGCGAGGAGGGTACAAGATGGCAAAATGACGATGACGAGGACGAGGACGATGACAAACCCACGTCCCTTACAGAGAAGACTATGGAACAGTGGCGGTAGTAGGTGCCGTGAGGGCGGACGCACGACTTGTCGCGGGATTGCGATAATCGCCCCTGCAGTGGACAAGATACATATGCCCGAAAGTTTCGCACCACGATGCGTAGCCATTGGTAGAGGTGGGGACTGTCAGGTGCGTGAGCGGCATATGTGTAGTGTAGCCTCACGTGTAGCCTTGTTGCCAGGGCCCCATCCCGCCATGCAGCATCCATCACCATACACAACAATGTACGCGGCAGAACCACGGCCATGTCTCTCATTGCAAGCCGCTTGGCCGAATAGTAGGCCACAACGGGACTCGAGGTAAAACTCTGCACCACATATTCCCTGGGGCGTGCAGTCGAGTCGAGTGTGCTTCAAGCGACCATTCGTCAATGAGCAAATACCCAGGGCATAAGCACGGTAAGCAGTCCCTCCGTGTGTGCACACAAGGAGCGGGTTCAAAGGGTCCCCGGTCCCCTGGCCCTCGCCCAATCTCCACACAGGTAGGGCGTCCAGGGCGGGAGGCCTGACATAGTCTTAGCGTGTCGGTGCAGGCAAAAAGCTTGGTCGTTGTGTTCCCAAGCTTTTCAGCCTTCCAGGGCGGGTCAAAAGGCAAATGAAAGCAGACGGCGGGCGTACGCTTTTGCACTGATCTGCACGGCTTTGGCCAAAGGTGTAGAGGACGTGGACTTTGATGAGGGTCGACGCGCTTTTGCTCGGCATACAAGGACGAACTGCACGACGCACGTCACAGGCTTCACCGGTTTCCATGGTTCAAGCTCCTGCATCTACGCGCATCGGGGATGCTGCGCGTGTGAGGGGAGCTCGATGGACATGGGTTTTTTTGGTTGCACATGGGAACTTCGCACCTTGTTGCAATATTCGGGCACTTTGTGAGCCTGATTGTCGGGCCAGGGCCGTTGTCGGTTTCATGATGGGCTGAGCTCCTTCGTAACCGAGACGATGGGAAGGTTGCGATGATCCCCGTCAGCAAGGCGCAAGTATGGACAAGGGCAAGCGAGCTGTGTGACCCGTGGAGTAGGTCAAGATGACCAGGACCTGTTAGCTGGAAAGCCGGCGCGTAAATTAGGATGCCAATTGCATTTTACTCTAATGGACCATGCCACGATGGCGACTTGGCCACAACCTAAAAAAAAAATAGGCAACGGGCACGCGGCGGCTCTCGCGATTCGAAGAGACAGAAACACGTCGGTCGGTTAGGGCATATTAGTAGCGGAAACCATGGCATTTGCTGTTTACGCTCAAGCGTAGTTGACAGCGACGAATCCTTGGAGGAAAAACTCATGGCGGACGAGGCTGGCGGAAAGGATCGCCTGGGCGAGCCACGCCAAACGTCTTGAGCGACCCCCCCCCCGCATGGCTGGCCATGTTTGTGTGCGGGCATAACTAGCGAAGGGCGAGTGAGGACCAAAAGGGTATCACGGCGACGCATAGGTGAGACGGGCATACAGCTATGCTTCACGCTCTTGGACGCCGAAGCCACACGCAGAAGAAGCTGCACGTGTGTGCGAAGCTGTACAGGACCCGTCTCTTGGGTAGCATTCGGTTGACGCACGCATCTGAGATGGATAACGCCCCCTGCACCAGAATGGGTCCACTAAGGAGTTATCTGGCATGCCCTGGAGCCTCGAAGGCGTGACAAGCGTGAGGCCAGACATTATGTGCAAAGCTATGTACCTTAACCGACAGATAACTGTGCACTCTGAGACTTGGCCAATCCATGAGTTCGCGCTTGTGGCCAGTGTGGAAGCGATAGCCGTTTGCCGGCCCGGCGAGGCTCACAAGCACCGTGGGAGAGTGGGACGTGTTGAGAATAGGCCGCGGCATGGTATGCGGCAGCTTGCGGCCGAGTCGCGCGGATGAGGTGGAGAGAGAGAAACAGAAAGAGAGAGCGAGCGAGTGGTAAGGGTGTTGCCGTCCCGCACATGGTACGATTCAGGTATCTGTCATGGCCAGACTCGTCCCCGTGCCGAAGTAGCTCCGACGACGATATCTGGAGAGAAATTGCGAGGGTTTGCGATGGTTATGGTTTTAGTACCATTATTTCCGTCGCCAGCTTCTCCATGAAGGTGTGTGCGCCCGCGCGGTGCACCAGACGGCACCAAGCCTGACAGCGGCCTGTCGCTCTGCCAGTATGGGGAAGCCGAAGCAGCAGACTAGTACGGCTTGTGCCGACGTGCTGTGAAAACAATGCGCGCTGTCTCCGTGTAGGAGCTGAAGCGATGGCGTGGCCGGCGTTTCCGTAGACATGTTACTGGGAAGAGCTGGAAGGTGATAGGCAGCGCAATGGCAGGGCAATGCTGGGAGGGATGAATGGATGGAGGAACAGCAGACGCACAATCTCGCTCGCGTACTGCACGTGACTGAATCTCATTTTCCAGCGTACGATCAGAGAGGGACGTGCACGACCCGCACCTGCCCACACCCAAATCCACATTTACACACACACCCACACGCACACACACACACACACACACACTCATCTCTCTAGCCACACCCACATACACATACACACATCATGTCGCTTATGCTGTGTGCATCGGCCGATATTGCGACGTGTAAAGCTGTCCATTCCACTATTCATAGCCTCGCCGCCAACACCTCACTGTACTTCCCCAGCCATGTTGACCTCATGTGCGCTGTGACGGCTGCACTAGCGTTCCCGTTGGTGTATTTTTAGCCCAACCCACAGGCTAGTCCTCCTTCACCACCAAGATTCTGCCTCGCCAAAACCGTCACCACACCCACGCTCTTATCACCGCCATCCAAGTCCTTTGCATCCTCATGACGGCATTGCGCACCCTGCAATCCACCCTCGCTGCCCGAGTAAAGCACCACTGCTGCCCTGTTTTGCTCTAGCCCGCGACTCTTGGCCCAGCCCAGAATATCTCTCTCCGCATCCCAAACTCCACTACCTCGTGCACCAGCCTTGCTGTGAGGTGACGTCCTGTTTGGTCATCCACCGAGCCCATGAATAATGCCATCTGAGTAATCACTCGCCATACCGCTGCTTGTGTAAGCGCCGCTGGGCAAGCCACATGGCCGCTACCATCTGACCTCAGCACTTTAACTGCTTTCCTTCTCGAGTAGTTTGGCCTCTTTACACTGATTCGCCTAGTCCTTTAATTGTTTCTATTCCCAACGCTTGGCTCAGGTACAATCTCTTTTCCACGTCAGGTTCCCCACCCCTAGCCTCAGCCTACTTACTCACACCAACTCAAACTTGCGCCTTCGACACGCCTCTACCTTCCATGACTCGTCCTATAGCCGCCCAACTACTGCAGCCCAGAATACCTCATTCTACCCAAGGTTGAGTTTTGCTGACTACCCAGTGGACAGGTTTCGGTTTTCACCCTGCATGCCATCCAAACCACGGCTTGCTCGGTGACCGTCTTACAACATTCCGGCGCTTAAGCTGGCATTTAACCTACATAGCCAGCCCGTTGTTACAAAGTAAGACATTCAACACTCATGCTAACAACGCCTCCGAGGGCTGCAGCAAAGGTCGTTGAGAAGTGGCGCACGTCTGGATAACTCGGCTACTACCCTGGCATAAAAGCAAATATCAAACTGTAAGGCCTCCTGAGACATACTGATTTGCCGCCCCAGGGGTCACGGAAACAGCCGCTTGGTGCGGAAAACATTACGCTTTTCACACGAATATCTTCTGACCCAGCATTCGTGCGCTGCCTCAAGATCCGGCCAGCATCTGATGTAGAGTAAGAGCCGATGCAATTTCTGCGAACCACTCACAATAGACAAGAAACAACCAATCATCTACTAGGTGTACTCGACGGTGGATGTGCAGATATGGCACAGTTATGGCACAGTTGTGGCACAGTTATGGCACATGGAAGGTATGCATGCTGTAATGCGGCAATGTACAGCAAATGCCCCATTACACTCTCATCCGAACCCAGATTCAGGCTCTCTGCCGCACTTCTAGCTTTTGCTTGATTTCAAATTGCCGCAACTCGTGTCATCGCGGGACCGTCCGCAACGGTAGGGCGTTGCGTTCCGAGCCATGTCGCTGTGCCTCTACGCGAACCCTTACGCCCCAACGGGCGCCTGTGCATTCTTACTACGCTTTACAACGAAGTAGATCTTTTGTTTTGCGAGATACGAGCGTAGCTGTCCCCACACCACCGTGCCACCGCCACATTCGGCGCGCACTGTAGAAAATGCCGACATGCTCGTATTACTGTGGTGATGATAAATCGTATCATGACGCACTGCGTCGGTCGGCGACTACTATAGCACGAGCCGGACTACGTACTTTGACTCGGGGCTCAATGAACTAGCTGCGTGTTACACCATTAGCTGATAGATTTAGTCCCGGCGATGCACCTCTTGATTTTTAGTGTGGCATAGTTGCCTACTGTATGTCCGATGAAAACAAGCTCTTGACGCGAATCAATTCTGCGCAACTTTTACCGCTTTCGGTAGAGCATATGAAGACCAATGAGTTCTCTCATTGCTTATCGTGGTGATCACTAACAACATCACATCTGCTGTTCTCCTGAGACAAAGCTAGGGCTAGATTACAGAGCTCCTTGTCCGTTTGCAAGTACTAAAGTATGACATGCGGTATTGGATACATCAGCATTTCATCTGCTATTCGTCAAATGGCAAAGTTCACCAAAACGCGCGTCACCGAATACCATCCCCGAGAGGAGAAGAAATTACGAAAGTCAATGAACTAAATCCATATCTGCTATAGTGTCGGGAGAAGTAATCGTTTCTCCACTGACCATTTGCCTAATGCACTTCAAAAATGTCACTCATGTCACTCATGTCACTCATGTCACTCATGTCACTCATGTCACTCATGTCACTCATGTCACTCATGTCACTCATGTCGTATACACTCAAGCTCTAGCATCTTAGTCCATAAAAAATCCCATAGCTTCCCTCTGCCCTGACATCAAACAAGAGCTTAATTCGACGTCGCACTCGACCGCAAAGCAAAAAGCCAGGTCCATCTCCCCGACCGCCGAAGTCAGCAAGAAGAACTGGGCTCTAATCAAACAAACTTTCGTCAATCAACAAAGCCATCTTTGCCAATTGGTGACATGCATCCTCAACGTTCCCCCCTTCAGCCCACCTACTACACACGGCACCGACCGCGCATAGCGGCGCGCCTCCCAAGCCTCCCTATCTAACGAACGCGTAGATCCGTGAAAGCAGAGGCCACACAACCCATTCACAGTCCACACCATACCGCATTCTCACCCTCGCCCGCAAAGAAACCCCGAGCACACATCCCTTTTCTCCCCCCTCTACTCTACTTACCAAGCACAAAGCACGCAACTCTGCCACGTCGGCCCTCTGAAATAAAGTTCGCCGCTAACCCAACCAAGACCCACCTTCCTGCCATCACCCATCTTCCTCTGCCTTATTCCCGCGGCCGTCAAGCAAAAAAAAACTCCGCGAAATGACGTTTTTTCGTCTCTTGAACTATCGCACTACATACCACATACCATAACTATCTGCCTACAGCTCTCCTCTCAAATTCGCTTTATTACTACATAGATACCAACAGGCTCGGCTATCTAAACCCCCCTCACAAAAAAAAGATACATACATCTTTAACTATTGTTTGAAGTTGTTGAAGAATCACCATACGCGCTGACTGGAACAAAGGCAAACAAACGCACAGAGAATTAAAGGCGGACGATGCAAGGACCACGAATCTGCTGATCTTAGCTTTTGCGACGGCGGCCGGGGGGCAGAGATGGGGTGATGTGGCTGGAGTGGCGTTTTTCGG